AAAGGCCATTATTTTGCATACTTTTGGTGTCCAGATAGGCTTTAGGGAGTTTTTCAGTGCCCAGGAAGTGCGATTCGCGCAGGACTCGTCCGACGGATCTTCCCAGCATCCACACACTCGAGATCAGGCACGGTAGCAAGGAACCCAGAGAGCCCAATACCCTTTAATTAAGGAATCCACCTTTTTTAGGGTTCCTTGATTATATGATTTCCTTGTTAGAAGCCCTTAAAAACCCCACAATCCCCAAACCCTAAAGCCTAAACCCAGGTAGCTCTGCTAGAATGGGATTGCGCTTGCAGTGGTTGTCAAGGAGGGCAGTGCCCGGCACAGGTCCAGAGGCAGTTCTTTTGCTTGTTGTGTGCCCTGTTGAAGCACTTTTGACGTCTTAGGTCGACCTGTGTGACTTTCGCAATCTCTTGTTTGCAATCCTTGGTTTTTACATGCGGCTTAGTTAACACTTTCAGGACAGGCTCTGCCAGTGGCTTTGTGCCAGAGGTCCGGATGATATTCATTCCACATGTTGGGAGTTGAGACTACTGATCAGGAACCTACCACTTAATGTCTGGATCTGGGGTGCTGCTGATTTCCTGCAACTCCCATCTTGCCATCCGTCCCGTCTGCCCTTAACTCTTCCAGCAACCCTAGAGTGCTGTGTGACTGGATGCTCGTCCTGCTGGCACCACCCTTCAGCACAGCAAACTTGGACGTCTATACAAAGAGCCTGCAACTGCAAATGTGTCATGGAAGATATGCACCGAACAGCGCAGACCCACAGTGCAGTAGATCGCAAAGCGAGCACGACTCCACCCAAGATGGCAGCATGTGTAGCCAAACTTTTCCGACACCATCACACGTGAACCGAAGTAGTGATGGATAGCGCAATGTATCCCTCCATGGAAAGTATGGCAGCAGCCCGCTGCAGCAGCAGCCAACTCAACTCCAGAGTTCTTGTCGCTGTCAAGGAGCCACTCAGACCTGAAAGCCACGGCAGCGACTGTAAGGGGCGAGGACTGCAAGCCTTCGCCGCGTGCGTGGCTGCGTGCGCCGCCGCCGGCGGGCGGCACCGAGGCTTCCGGACACTCTGCAAAGCGGAGGCTTCCGATGTGCCGCGGCGTGTCGCAGCCGCAGCAGCTGCTGTGGCTGCTGCAGACGCAGTGTTGCGAAGGGACGACCGCTATGCGCCTTCTGGACCGACATTGTGGCCTCCCAAGGCATTCAAGGAAACAGAGCGAACAGAGCTGGTCCCCGGGCTGATGTGGGGCCCGGAGCAAGTGATCGCCTTCTTCACGGTTTCTGCTAACATTCGTATGATCGTCGTGCGGATGGAGGACAAGAGACTCTGGGTGTGTGGTCCCATCTCGCCCACCCGTGAGTGTCTTCGATTGCTGGATGAGCTCGGGGAAGTGGCGCACCTCGTAGTGCCCGGCACGGCTTTGGAGCACAAGGCCTCCCTGTCAGAGTTCTCCCAGCTCTATCCCAAGGCGACTGTATGGGTGTCTCCCGGCCAGAAAGCTTCGCCCCTGGATCCTCCTCTCGGCTCGCATGTGGATGGTGTGCTGGGAGTTGATGGGCCTCCTCCATGGGAGAAGGAAATCGACTACAAGGCTTTTGATTACACCCTGTGTATACTTGATCGCTTTGCTATGTAACATTGCTGTTGGTACTGCTGTCTTTGCAGGGTTCTCGTGGTGGTGGTGTCGGTGGTACGATGACGACGACGCCGACGATGACGCCGACGCCGACGATGACGCCGACGATGACGCGACGATGACTGCGACTGCGGCTACGAAGGCACCACCACCACCGCCGCCACCACCACCACCACCACCACCACCACCGCCACCGCCACCGCCACCGCCACCCCCACCACCACCCCCACCACCACCGCCACCACCACCGCCACCGCCACCACTCCCACCACCACCACCACCACCACCTCCACCTCCACCTCCACCATGACCGCTACATACTACAGCCGGGACTACCACCATTTGTTAGACTCGAGTCGGTGGTTGTGCTATGATATCACGGAAGCCTATAGGCGTGCTTGCGACTTAACACTACCAAAAACCATGTTTGGGGAGGTGTTTTTCGTGGCGCCCCCTGACACAGCGGGCACGTGCCCTGGGTCGCAGAAGGTCCCTAAGCCCTAAACCCTAAACCGGTGTGTCTCTCAGCTCATGTGTTTGCCCTTCATGTCACAGACCGCCGACTGAGCAGTTACCCTAAACCCTAAGCCTTCAGCCAGCCTTGGGGGAGGCTGGATAGCTTTCGTGTTCCAGTGAACGCAATATCCCTAAAGGTATGCGGAGACGGCCTTTTTCCACCGGCGATCGAAGACCTTGCTGCTAACCGACGCGGTGCTCAAGGCGTGGGGGAACCGCAGCAGACTAACGTGGACCCCGAATTGATTCGCAGAGAGCCCGGTTCACCTTAAATTACGAAAAATACCGCAAATCTGCCGGGGTTCGAGAACTCCCCCTGAAGAAGTATAGTAAGTATCCTTCAGAACCTGCAAGAAATGAGTTGCAAGAGTGCAGGTTTCCGATCTCTTGATGTTGCAGCTGTTCGAACTGTTCACCCAATTCCAAGATTAAGGGAGGGGGCGGTTGCGGCATACATGTGTTTATGTACCAACATGAACACAACTGAATCTTAATCTAGGAACTTGACTAAGAAAACCTGGCCCTACAACCCCAAAATAGTAGGATTCATAGAAAGACCCCTAATAAAGACCCAGGGTTTCTNNCTTAATCAGGTTCCTACATTAGTCTTACCTTTGCAACGGCCACTGAGCCCTCAGTCAGACGCACGCCCAATCCACAAACTCCGAACCCACAAGCCCTAAAGTTCTAAACCCTGTGCAGCCATCTCTGCGCGAACTTAACAAGTTTCTTCATATATGCAGTGATTATTAGACCTTGCTAAACCGGAACAAGGAGCAAGCTAGGGTAATATAGTCGTTGCTTGAGAGGTTTTGGAGTCTCATGGGTTGAACCTGTAAACCCTAAACCCGAAGCAGCCAGTTAGATGTAATTAGGATTTAGGGTTTAGGGGTTTAGGGTTTTAGGATTTAGGGTTTGGGGTTTAGGGTTTAGGGGTTTAGGGTTTAGGGTTTAGGGTGTACCTGGACAAGGTCCCCGAGGGGCCACCTCGTATT